GCCTGGCGAGTAACCTTTATGTACCGGGGTCGGTCATAGCTCGGGGGAATCCTTTTAGGAGCATATCCATAATTTGTAATAAGCTCCTTGCTGCTTGTACCCTCCTTTTCCATAATAATAATAAAAGCGCTATTTTCGTTTTGCCTTGTGTTTTGTTGTGTTTTGTTGCGTGCCCATTCGGACGACTGGTCAAGGAGTCGGTCACATCGTCAGACTCTTTTCAGTCTGACATCTGCAAGATTCCCCATAGCTCGGGTAAATCCGATCTTTTTTATGTTGGCGTGCGAATCTTACTCTTCCCGGGCGGATCTGATGGAACTAATCTCTGACAAAGATTCTCATCATCCGTCCAATCCGGCTCAGTTATACCAGTCCCCTCCGTAATTATCGCCTAGATATTCGCCTTCCCTGGGCTATATAAAGACCCTTCATAGTTAATGCAAATCGCAACACTCTTCCTTTTGCGAAAGCACGGCGCTATGAGTTACAGAGATGGTGATCGTCGCTGGTCCATTCGCAACAAGGAGCATGCTCGCCTGGAGCATCTGAGGCAGAAAAGGCTGGCTAACGGAGGTCGTCTGGTGGGCGACTCGGCTTCAGACCCTATCGTGGTGCCTCCGGACATGCTGGACCTGATGTGCAAGAAGTCTATCGATGTCGAGATGGAGCCTGTGGTGGAGGATCCCGGACCAGAGGTCGGGAACCCTGCTCCCGAGGAGGAAGAGGTGTGGGAGGTTCCTCCGCTTTTCGGCGTTGCCATGTCGCCGAGCGCTCTGGAGAGGCCTTTACAAATGATTGACGATGGGAAGCCGGCCGTGTATCTGGACGAGATGCCAGAGCCTGAGCCGAGTCCTCTTCCATTCCGCCCCCAGTACTTCCTAGAGGGTCCTCCGGCTGCCCGCTCGTCGACAGAGAAGGAAGCCAAGCCATGACTCTGTTTTTCTCTTGTAATTTGCACCGGCCGAGTCCCGGGCCTTGTAATCTTCGTGTTGATTTGAATAAATAGTGTGCTTTTCTTATCCGACCTCGCAATTTCTTACTATTTTGTCGCCCGACCTCGGATCCGTGAGACGGACCCCTAGTCTTGCTATGGCGAGATCCTCCTATCGAGGGAGTCGCCGAGTCTGATCGCCGGCCCCGCGACCGGAATTTCTTCGTGAGCTCGGCCGATATCGTTTGATGGGCCGGGTTCTACCGAGTTGCTTCTAGAAGCTTCCAGCTCGTATCTCGTGGGCCCAGTGGCCATGGCCCACTACGGGCTTCCGGCTTAGCAGGCCGGGTCATGTGACGTTCGACCCTAACCTAGGGCAGACGCGCCGTCTGTGAGCTAACCCTAGACCTGAACCGTCGCCCCGCCTTTTGAGGCATTAAATGCGGCGTCCCTTCACGTCTCGTCACCTCCGGCCCCTCCAACGAGAAGGTGGCACGTGGCCGCCCTTTGAAATTCTTACCATTCAAATAGCCACTTCGTCTTTCTTCCCACTCTCTTCTCAAGTCTTCCTTTTCAGTTTCAACTTCGAGCTTCTCCGGCCACTCTGTTCCTCCTCCAATTTCCTTCCTGACCTAGGTAATGTCTTCTTCCTCGCATTCTTCTTCTTCTCGTCGTTACTCGGTCGACAACACCGAGGCGACTTCTCCCTCTTCTTCTTCTCCTTCTTCGTCTTCCTCTTCTCCTCCTCGTCGTATGGAACTTCCGGCGGACGTTCCATTGACGTCCTCCCTCCGCCGTACGGAACTTCCCTCGGACGTTCCATCGACATCTTCTCTTCCTCCGACCCCCTCTTCTTCGGGGGCGGTCACTCCGCTGAGCCCCGCTCCTCTAACGACGGTGGCGGCTCTGCCGGGTGGCGTTATACGGCCGCGGGGCAAGTTTGATCCGATCGTCCATCCCTCCGGGCCACCGTCCGTCGCTACTGCGGCGGATCTGGAGATGGCCCAGTATCTTCTTGGGCCCTCGGCCATAGTCCTTGCTCCGGAGGGCCGGCAAATTTACGACCCACCCGAGGGTTGCGTCGGTATTCATCTGCACTCGGTTGCCTTTGGCTTCCGAGTTCCTCCATGTCCTTTTCTCTCTCTTTTTTACCGCCATTATAACTTGGTGCCGGGCCAATTAGCGCCCAATTCTCACCGACTCCTCACTTGCTTCATCAATCTCTGCCACTGGTGGTTGTGCGAGCCGGACCTCGACCTGTTCCGGTATCTTTTTACCGTAAACAAGGTCGGCTCGCACTCGCCGGGCTTCGTTCAAGTCGTCGCTCGCCCGGGGCGACAGCTTTTCGAGGGGTTGTCCGATTCCATCAAGGATTGGAAGCTCCTTTATTTCTTCGTCCGCCCTGCCCTTTCTTCTTTCACTTTTCCGACCCTGTGGCCGGCCGCTCTGTTCAAGCCTTGTCCTCGACGTGCCGTTCCTTCCGACGATGCGGTCTTGGGCGGCGAGTTCTTGAAGGGCTTCGGGCCGTACTCCGTCAAGTACTGGTCCTGAGTCCGGGCCATGGCTAAGCGTGGCTTGCTACCGGAGGGTGCGGCCACCGTAGGTAGTCTTCGTTACCCCTCATTCTTTTCCTATCTCGCCATATTCAGACTCGGAACACCTCATGCTTTCTCTTTCCTTTTTGCAGGTCCGTACGACTCCGACTCCTCCAGCTCCGACGAGGCGTTTGAACCGACTCCCGAGATGGCAGACAGAGCCGAAAAGATGAGGCGCCGGCTGATCCAACGCTCCGGTACTGCTGCCGCCTCTTCTTCTCTACCGTCTCCAGCTCCCAGGCCGACTCCTCCTCCTCCTCAGAACGTGGTGGATCTGACTCCGTCGCCAGTGGTGTCGCCCACTCGGCAGCCACCTCCTCCTCAGACAGAGAGCTCTGGCTCTAAGCGCCCGGCTGTTCAAACTGACGAGCCGGCTCCAAAAAGGATCCGGCTGTGCCATGAGGTAGAGGAGGATGCCCAGATCTGGATGGGCACCTCCTCTGTCCGTAAGTGGTGTGCTAACGTCCTTTTACCTAAGGACGTGGAGGCGACTCATGCTCTGGGGGACGGGTACATCCTCAAGGCCTCACTGCGCCAATCGTACCGCGTAAGTGTTTCCCACTTGACCTCCCCTTCGTCCTTTCCTTTCATTGCCTGACTCGTGTCTGTTTCGCAGAACCTCACCTTCCAGATGGAGATGAGTAAGCGGCTGCAGAACTATTTGACCGACATGCGGTCTATGTCCAACAAGCTACGTCAGACGGAGGAGGCCTTTTTGGAAGAGTAGGCGAAGCACCTCAAGGTGGTGGAGGTGCACAACTCCGAGATGCTGAGGGTTACTCGCCAGTGGGAGGAGGAGCGAGACAAGGTGGCGACGATTGCTGCGACCTCTGTCGAGGAGTACAAGAAGTCGGCCGCCTTCGAGGCGGAGGTGAAGGCGGCGATAGAGGCTCGCCAAAAAGAGATCGCTAAGGAGTGGCTGTCGACGCCGGATGGCGACGAGTTTCTCCTGGACTTGGGCGAGCGCGACTATCGCCTCGGCTTTCGCGAGGCGCAGACGGCGGTCCATGCTGCCTTGCTGGTCCGCGACTCCTCTTTCACTCCCGAGAGCTGGGGCCTCAAGCCCGTGATAGATGCTCTTCCGGCGATTGAAGGACAGTCGGCGACTGGAGACCCGGCAGCTCTTCCGGCCGCCTCTGATCCGGCAACTCTTCCTTTAGCAACACCTCCTGAGCTCGCCGAGTCCTCTCTTCAAGCCGAGGACCCTTCTTCTGTTCCCCTGACTGGACCAACGGCAGGGGCCCAAGTCGAAGGGATTGATGTCGACACCCCCTCCCCCGTAGTTTAGGGCTGTTCTATTTGGGGATATCCCCTTTTTTTGTAAAGGCTGGCCTCCTTTTCGGGCCTTTTTTAATGAAATTCCCCCTTTTTTCCTTTTCGTATTATCGTGAGCTCGACGCTTTGTCCTTTAACCTAATCTCTTTTAACTGCTCACCGAGTCCTTCTGTCGAGGCGACTCCTCACGGCTTTTCCGCAGGCACGACTAAGGGTCCAGGCCCTTGTTTCCTGTCTTTTCTTGCCGAGTCCCTCGGTCGAGGTGACCCATTAGGCTTTTTCTATCTCAGAAACAGTTTAGGGTCAGTGCCCCGTCGTTTCTCTCAATACTCGCCGAGTCCCTCAGTCGAGGCGACTCCTGTAGGCTTTTTCTCGGAAACGTCTAAGGGTCTGGGCCCTTGTTTCCTATCTTTTCTTGCCGAGTCCCTCGGTCGAGGCGACCCATTAGGCTTTTTCTATCTCAGAAACAGTTTAGGGTCAGTGCCCCGTCGTTTCTCTCAATACTCGCCGAGTCCCTCAGCCGAGGCGACTCCTGTAGGCTTTTTCTCGGAAACGTCTAAGGGTCTGGGCCTTTGTTTCCTATCTTTTCTTGCCGAGTCTCTCGGTCGAGGCGACCCATTAGGCTTTTTCTATCTCAGAAACAGTTTAGGGTCAGTGCCCCGTCGTTTCTCTCAATACTCGCCGAGTCCCTCAGTCGAGGCGACTCCTGTAGGCTTTTCCTCGGAAATGTCTAAGGGTCTGGGCCCTTGTTTCCTATCTTTTCTTGCCGAGTCCCTCGGTCGAGGCGACCCATTCGGCTTTTTCTATCTCAGAAACAGTTTAGGGTCAGTGCCCCGTCGTTTCTCTCAATACTCGCCAAGTCCCTCAGTCGAGGCGACTCCTGTAGGCTTTTCCTCGGAAACGTCTAAGGGTCTGGGCCCTTGTTTCCTATCTATTCTTGCCGAGTCCCTCGGTCGAGGCGACCCATTAGGCTCTTTCTATCTCAGAAACAGTTTAGGGTCAGTGCCCCGTCGTTTCTCTCAATACTCGCCGAGTCCCTCAGTCGAGGCGACTCCTGTAGGCTTTTTCTCGGAAACGTCTAAGGGTCTGGGCCCTTGTTTCCTATCTTTTCTTGCCGAGTCCCTCGGTCGATTAACTGTAATCCATGTGCTTTATTTAGATTTTTTGAATCCTTGAGCATGTACACGGCCTATCCTTTTCTACTGATAGAACCTTTTCAAATGGGTGGCATTCCATATGCGATCTATGAGCTTGCCTTCCATGGTCTCTAGCTTATAGGTTCCAGCTTGGACCACCGCTGCAATACGGTATGACCCCTCCCACTTAACCGCAAACTTGCCCCCTTCGGTGGGCTGACTGGCCTGTCGATCGCATAACACGAGGTCGCCAACCTGGAAGGTTCGCGGGCGAGTCTTCCGGTCGCGATATCTTTTCACCGCCTGCTGGTACTCGACCATCCGTGCACTCGCGGCTTCCCTCCTTTCTTCTAGGAAGTTTTTCTCGATCCGCAAATTCTCCTCGTTCGCTGCATCCGAGTAGGTGCGAACCCGGTGGGTGGGTTCGACTACTTCGACTGGAACTTTGGCCTCGAAGCCGTATGCGAGCGAGAACGGGCTCTCCCCCGTCGCTCGCCGCTGGGTAGTGCGATAAGCCCATAGGACTCGGTCAAGCTCGTCCGCCCAACTTCCTCGGATGTCTTCGAGCTTCTTCCGGATCCCATCGACCAACGTTCGATTCACATTCTCGACCTGCCCATTCGCTTGTGGGTACGTCACCGAGACCTTGGTGTGCTTGATACCGTGTCGGCGGCAGAAATCAGCGAAGGCCTGGCAGTCAAACTGTCGCCCGTTGTCGCTGGCGATGTGCTCGGGCAGGCCGAAGCGACATATCACCCTTTTCCACAGAAAACGTCGACATTGGTACTCAGTGATGGTAGCCAATGGTTCTGCCTCGACCCATTTGGTGAAATAGTCGATAGCCACAACGCAAAACTTCAGACCTCCCGGGACGACGGGCAATGGCCCCAACAAGTCTATTCCCCACTTGGCGAAGGGGATGGCAGTGGCGACCGATGTATAAAAGGTGGCCGGCCGAGTGTCTTTCCTGGCGAATGCTTGACAAACGCCGCACCTGGACATCCATTCGATGCAGTCTCGCATCACGGTCGGCCAATTATACCCTTGAACGACTAACTTCCGGGCGAGCGTGTGGGCGCCCTGGTGCGCGGCACAAATGCCTCTATGAGCTTCGTCCATTATTTTCTCGGCCTCGGGTCTAAGCAGGCACTTTAGTAAGGGTCCACCGAACGACTTTTTGTATAGCAGTCCGTCGATGATCCGGAAGGAGGGGGCTTTCCGCCGAACTTTCGCGGCGACTCCCGGGTCTTCCGGTAACTCGCCTTTTTCTATGAATCGCCGGATGTCCTCTATCCAGAACATTTCAGGATTTTTCCCTCGATCCCATTCCCCGAGATCTACTTGCTGGACTTCCGGTGGTGTCTCTCCAACACTCGGCCGATGTAGCTCCTCCTTCTGGCAAATTTTCATCAGATGGTCCGGTACCCCTTCCAAGGCAATTTTGGACAATAAGTCGGCTTCCGTGTTGTCCGTTCGGGGTATGTACTCTATCTCGTAAGCCCCGAACCCTTTTAACATCTCGACCGCACGCTCTATGTATAGCACCATCCTTGCGTTCTTAGTTTCACATGTACCCGAGATCTGTCCGACTACCAGTCTGGAGTCAGTCTTGATTCGCAGCCGCTCGACTCCCAGGGCCCTGGCGAGTCGGAGGCCGTTTAATACCGCTTCGTACTCGGCCTCATTATTTGATGTCGAGAACCGATATCTCAGAGCGTAATATAGCCGGAATCCTTCCGGAGTGATGAGCATGACACCGCCTCCACAGTGCTGTCGGCTTGACGCTCCGTCCGCGTGCATTTCCCACCACTCGCCTGGGCAGCTCTCCGAGGCGTGTTCTTTTTCTTCTTCACTTGCTGTGCATTCGACCAGGAAGTCGGCTAGGGCCTGACCCTTAATGGAAGGCCGAGGTTGGTACTCAATCCCATACTGAGTCAACTCTACGACCCACTTTACAAGTCGGCCGGAGGACAAGGGGTTTCTTAGCACGCTTCCGAGCGGCTGATCTGTCAAAACTCGAACGGTATGGGCTTGGAAATAGGGTGCCAGCTTGCGCACGGTAACTACCAACGCATACACAATCTTCTCCACAACGGTGTACCGCGTCTCGGCGGCCTTCAGCGAGCGACTTACGTAATAAACCGGGTGCTGGACTCGGTCATCCTCTCGGACCAATACCGAACTCACTGCTTTGGCTGAGGCAGCGAGGTACAAGAATAAAGGCTCGCCCACCTGGGGGGTAGACAGCACTGGGGGCGATGAGAGGTACTGTTTCAACTCTTCGAACGATCGTTGGCATTCGGCTGTCCAAGCGAATCCCTCCTTCTTCTTCATGGCTTCGAAGAAGGGTACGGTCTTATCCGCCGCTTTGCTCAAGAAGCGGCTAAGGGCGGCCAATCGGCCAGTCAGCCGTTGCAAGTCCCTGACGGTTGTAGGAGGCTGCATGTCGATGATGGCCTGTACTTTTTCCGGATTAGGCTCGATGCCTCGCTTGGTGACCATGTAGCCCAAGAATTTGCCACCTTGGACGGCGAACGCGCACTTTTTGGGGTTCAGCCGAAGGTTGTATTTCATCATTACCTTGAAGCAGTCGGCCAAGTCCTCCGCGTGCTTATCCTCCTCCCGGCTCTTGACGAGCATATCGTCGACGTATGCAGCCATCGATTTCCCAAGCAGATGTTGGAACAACCGGGCGACCATCCGGGTGTACGTAGCCCTGGCATTTTTAAGCCCGAAGGGCATGACTCGGTAACAGTAAACTCCGTCCGGTGTCAGGAAGGCGGTCTTCTCCTCATCCGCCGGGTGCATAAATATTTGATGGTACCCTCTGAAGGCGTCCATGAAACTCAGTAGCGCCGACCCGGCCGTTTCGTCGACTAACTGGTCGATCCGAGGTAGGGGAAACGGGTCTTTCGGACAAGCCTTATTAAGGTCGGTGTAGTCCACGCACATTCGCCACGCCGGGGGCTTGGGCACGAGGACCACATTGGCCAACCACTCCGGGTACTTAACCTCGCGGATGTGCCCGGCCGCTAGTAGCGTGCCAACCTCCTTCTTCACGAATTCCCTCCGGTCGTTGGCTAGGTATCGTTTCTTCTGTACGACCGGTCGGTGCTCCGGATCTACGGCGAGTTTGTGGGATATGATTGATCGGTCGACGCCAGGCATGTCCTCTGGGCCCCAGGCGAAAACCGTCCGGTGCTCCCGGAGCACTTTTACAATTTCTTTTTTCAATGTCTCGGAGAGGCCGACTCCAATTCAGACCCGTCGGTCTGGCCGTGTAGAGTCGATCTCGACTTCCTCCAACTCGACAGCAGGCTCTGGGCGAGGTAGTATCGTCTTCTTCGGGGGCCTCTCAGTGATCTCATGGATCCGCATCTCGCGTTTGCCCATTCCTCTGCATGCCTGCAGATAGCAGTCGCGGGCGACCTTCCGATCACAGCGCACCGTACCTACTCCATTCGGTGTGCGGAATTTCAAGCAGAGATGCTCAATTGAGATCAAGGCTCCTAAATCCTCAAGACCCGGTCGGCCAAGTATCGCGTTATGCGAGCAGGCCAGGTCTACCACAATAAATTTCATGCTGAGTTTCTGTACGTCCGGGTACGTGCCAATCTCCACTGGGAGTGTGATCGACCCTTCTGCCTCCACCGAGTCCCCTGTGAAGCCGGCGAGGGGGGTTTTGACGGGGTTCAGCTGTTCTCGAGTCAGCCCCATTTTGGTGAAGGTTTCTAGATATAGCACGTTGACGCTGCTTCCGGTGTCCACCAGGATTCGCCGAACGACGATGCCGTTGACGTCCATGGCTATAACCAACGCATCTCGATGCGGTATTTCTCCGGCTGGTAAGTCTCTGTCGGTGAACACGATGGGCTCTCGACACACCTTTTTGGAGTTCTCCTCACGCCCGTACACTGTCCCGACGTACAACTGCCGAGCTCAAGCTTTTCTGGTGTTCGCTGAATCACCACCTTCCGGCCCGCCAACTATCATGTTGATAACCGGTTTTTGGCGCCACTGAGCCTCCTCCTCTTCGGAAACCGGCTGTTTGCCTCGACCGCTTTCGGCAACTGCGACGGGTTCCTCATCCCCTCGACTGCCCGGCCTTCGCCTCCACTGGTTAGGAGGCGGGGTTCCTTGCTGGATGATGCCCTCCATGATCTTCTTCAGGTAGAAGCACTCCTCCGTACTGTGGGTATAAGATTTATGATAACGACAATACTTAGCGTTCTTACCCATCTCTTTGTTCGTCGCGCGATCGTCGGTCGGCGGAGGCGGAGGCGGGGCAACCGCTTGTACCTCGTGGACCGGACGCTCGGGAATCGGCCGATAGGCGTGGACCACTGGTCGATCGTACGGCCGTCTAACTTCAGGTCGCCGCGCCATGTCCGGGCGCCTTTCTTTGGCTTCCGCTCGCGTTCTCTTTCCGCTGGCAGATCCGCCGACTTCGCGCTGTCGCTTGTACTTCATAGCCTGCTCCGTATTGGCCCTCTTGTTGGCCATATGAATGGCTTCTGCGTAGGTGGCCGGCCGATTGTCCCTCAGGTCTCGATACAGCTGGCCGGACCGCAGCGACTCGATGAAGAAGGTGAGCGCCGTCTGGTCCTCGACCTCTTCTATGGACTGGATTTCTTTCTGCCAGCGGGCCAGATAGGTTTTTAAAGGTTCGCCTTCGTCTTGACGGATGTCACCCAAATGAGTTAGGTCCTTTTGCGGCTTAATGTTAGCGGCGTAATGGCTCATGAAGCGGTCTGCCAGCTCTTCAAAGTTGTGAATCCACCCTGAGGGCTGCGCCACCAGCCACCTTTGTGCTGACCCCTTTAACGTGGGTAAGAAAGCACGACACATGACCGGGTCTCGTACCCCCAAAACCTGCATCTTGGCCTGATAGCTCAGCAAATGCTCGCGGGGATCGCCGGTTCCATCGAACGTGGCTTGCTCCGGGAACTTGAAGTCGCTCGGTATCTTAAAAGCCATAACCTCGTCTGAGAAGGGTAAGGCGGTCAGCAACGTACGTCCTGGGGATTTGGCTTTTCCCTCCATCCGTTCTTTCAGATTTCGCACCTCCTGTACTAGGTTAGCCACTTCGACCCTCTCCCGGGTGCGGTTTCCCGTGGATTCCGTGCTTTCGCCGACTTCAGACTCAGCCGGTTGGACGGGGTTGCGGGGAGGTCGCTCCACGCGACGAGTCTCAGTCCTGGCTCTTTTGGTTCGGCTCTTCTCTCGTGCAGCTTGTCGGTCGCGGGCGGCTAACGGGGCACGACTGGGCTCCTTCCGGCCTAATCGTTCCCTTGCCGACCGACGCCCAACGCTGGGACCTAGCCAGGAATGAACGGATTGTACCGGTTGGCTTTCAGCCCGTCGGCTCAATTGCCGGTTGTCGGGCCTATGAGGCGGTTGCAACTCGCGTTGCGGCTGGCGAGTGATGGACTGTTCTCTCACTCCTAGGCTTGCTTCCGCGCAGGCGCGCCCGATTGCGCGCAACTGCTCCGGGGTGAGCAGCACTTGAGGTAATTGCGGGTTTCTCTGCGACGTCGGCGGCGGGGTCGTCTCGTTTTCTTGGCTTTGAGCATTTCTCCTATTCAGCTGGCTTCTCAAGTCGGCCTCTCGTCCGTTGTCGTGACGGCTCGACTGTTCTTCGCTTCCTGCCATGTCTGGAGTTTTCCTGATTCAACTATTGTTCCTCGGACTCGCCTCACTCAAGAGGACACGTGACTCTTCGTTTCGATCCCCACGGACAGCGCCAGTGATGGTTTTAGGGTTTTTGGGCCCAAGGAGGTCCAACACAACCTTTGGTCGGAGGATACACCTCTCAATAATATTTATGTCTAACTCAGAGATAATAACTGTGCTCAGAAATTCTTTGTTATTTTCCACTCCTCCGGGTGTCCGGAAATGTCTGCCTTTTACAAAAATGGAGGAGCCTTTATATAGTGGCTCCTCCTCTGCCGACTTGAAGGCCCTTAATGGCCGACTTCAAGGCTAATCAAGGTGTGGAGCCGTTGGATGCCATTACTCGGTCAACCAACGGCTCTCCTGGGTTTGTAACAGCCCGTCCGGGTCCTGTTTTTAATGCTTCAACGGCTCTCTTTTAAAGGAACCCCTTTAATGCCCTCAACGGCTCCTCGAGCCGGGTCCTTTCCTGGGCTTGGGCCTCGGCCGACTCCTGGACTCGACCTGACTACTCTTTGGGCTCCTCTCGATGCTGGCCCACTTCTATTTTCTTTGGGCCCCTATCTCTTGGGCCGGGGTCCTTACCCCATCAGTGTGTGTGTGTGTGTGTGGAGTTAATACCATCTGACATCATCCGAGTATAGTGGTTTTGCCACGTTTAGTCCTAAACTTTCAAATTGACCATCTGTGGTCCTTCGACTTTCAAATTTAACCATTCGAGGTCCTAGTTAACCACCCATGGTCCTTCAACTAATAAATTTTAACCAACCATGATCCTTTAAAGAGGACCACGACTGGTTAAATTTCGAAACTTAAAGGACCATGGGTGGTTATCTTGGACCACAAATGGTTAAATTTAAAAATCGAAGGACCACAGATGGTCAATTTGAAAGTTTACGACTAAATGTGGCAAAACCACTATACTCAGAGGTCCTCAGATGGTATTAACTCTCTCTCTCTCTCTCTCTCTCTCTATATATATATATATATATATATATATATATATATATATATATATATATATATATATATATATATATATATACATATATATGATCAGAGTTCTGAGCTTCTTCTCCGATTCTCTGATTCTGTAATCTGTAATTCTGTATTCTCTGTTCTGTCATCTATGATCTATGTTCTCTGAGTCTGAGACATCCAGATAGTCGTCTACTCGTCTGAAGCATCTCTGATTCTTCGGTGGAAGCCCAACTTGTGGACTCGTGGTGACTGGTGCACTACTACACAATTGGCTTTTAACGTCGGCTATTTGGGCCCTTTAACGTCGGCTAAAAAGCGACGTTGTTCTGGGCGACGTTGTATAGAAATCATACGACGTCAGCTAATTAAATAGCCGACGTTATATATATTTTTATATTCAATTATTAAATACCTACAACGTCGGCTATTAATAAATAACCGACATTGTAGGTATTTTTTTTTAAAAAAAATATATACATACAACGTCTTCTATTACTAAATAGCCAACGTTTTAATGTATTTATTTTTTTTAAATATACATACAACATCGGCTTTTTCCAAATAGCCGACGTTGTAATGTATTTTTTTTTAAATATACATACAACGTCAGCTATTTCATATAGCCGACGCTGTATGTTTTTTTTAAAAAAAAATATACCGTTTATTTATCCATTTATACCCAAAACCTGATCAAATTACTCACAACCACATCCAAAACCTGCTCAATTATTGCATCACAACCACATCAAAATATGTACAATTTAATACTTAAAATCGCAAAAGTAATAAATCTCACAGTTTGATACTAATTAATAATACAAGTTAAAACTATCAACCTAAGATCAATTATATTACTTCACATATTTAACCATAGATCAACTAAGAAGTCGGCTCATACGTCTCTAACTTGAACAATCTCTTGTTGATTGTAGCTCGATCCACCAACTCTCTCAAGGATCTTCAAAGTAGATAGTTAATAAATAATTAGTAAGCTAGCATTTTTAAAA